AAATAATATAATAAAAATATCTTATTTAATTAATAAAATAATATAATTTAAAATATTATTTTACAAAAAAATATATATACCAACTGGGCTAAACCCACGACCCGAACCAGTGCCGGCTGGTCGGACGGCTGTAGCGGCTCCCGTGTGTGGGTTTTAACTGAACCTACTAACATAAAGATCCTCTCCCCTCTAAAGACTAGTTGTACCCCTTGGGGCCCAAAACCAAATTCTTAACTTGAGTTATATAAAGTGGTTTCTATTCTTCTAGTTTTCCTATGTGGGATTGGTACTTTCCAATTTCCCATCAAATTTTATTCCCAATTTATTTTCAACTTCAAGTGATCATCTTTTGATTTTAATTTCTCATTCACCCTTAATTAGTTTTGAGAAATAAATACATATATCAATTCTACTCATGAAGTAGAATGCACTTGGCCAAATAAATCATTTATTCAACTAATGGGATCCACTTAATTAATTGGTCAAAAGTTGGTCAAACCAACTAATTACTCCAAATTTCCAACAAATTTTGCCCAATCAAGCATACGAGCAATCCTAAAACAATATAAATTACACCAAAAAAAACACAATCAATGCACACACACTACCTGGTATTTCACCAATTTTTCCCTCTAATGTAGCTTTAGCAGACATTCCATGGAAACAAACAAAATCATGATTATGCCTCTCGAGGCATAGTTCAGTGGTGCAAAGGACATAAGTGAGGTTATCTCACGTGCTTGCTGGCAGTCGCAGTGTGGGGGTTCGATTCCTGAAACATGGAATTGGACTCTTTGTAGACGTAGTGTACAGGTAGCTGTTGTTCCTTGATCTATTGGGATACATCCCGCGATTTACCTCCCTCACAAAGCTCTAGGGACGGGGCGGTGAGGGCTTTCAAGGTTGGGGTTCAACATTTTTTTTAAACAAAATCATGATTACTCCCAAAATACACACTATTCAAGTTCCCAATTCCATGATCAGACCCACAACTCTCTTTCTCTGAGGCCACTGCATGTGGGTTTTAAAAATTTTGATAAAATTGAGCAATTTTTCGCCAAGCCCAGATGGGAATCAATTCCTTTCTTGTTGGAGGTGAAGCTTTGTGTTACTAGAGTCACCGACACCTAAATACCCTTTTAAATACGATAGGATTTGTGGTGGCTTCTTTTGCATTAATGGCTCTTCTCAGAGGTATTAAGGGTAGGAGAATTTGGAGGCGGGTATCCAAGAGCGCCGCTTGCTATGGTGAACATTCTTTGTAGTGGTGGTGCTTGATCTTGAGGTGGAGTTGGGTTTCGCATTGAGGCAGTGGTTTCGATAGTGGCAACCGACGTTGTGTGGGGATAGATTTGGTTTTGGAGTGAGGGGTTTAGGGAAGGAGGAGAAGGGGGTAATGGGTTTTGTGTTTGTTTTTTTAATTTTTGATTTAAAAGGGGAAATGTTTTATGTCCAAATTATCCTTATCTTATTTGGAGAAAATTATTTAATTTTTAATTTATGGGGTCAATTGACGGTTTCTAGGGGTCAAACCGACGGAAACCATCATTTTGAACTTGAGCTACGAATTTTTTAAAACTTTGGTACTTATGATGGTACAAATGAAAGGCTTGGATCAAGTCTGTTATTAAATGAAAGATTTGGTACCTTGGCTACAATTTTTCCTATACTTAAACAAACTAACATTAAAATAAATTAACATTAAGCATCTTATAATCGAGGAAAAAATTTGTACTATTTTTTTCTTTACCTACTTCTGTTGTCGAACCATATATCGCAATTGTTCAACCATATGATAAATTGAACCATATGATCGTAATTTTTTGAGCCATATGATTAAATTAAAAAGTTGAACCATATGATCGCAATTGTTCAAGCCATATGATTGATATTGCATGGCCCATATGTCGATGAAGTTGGTGAAAAACAAATCTCCAACTGTTCCATCCATTCGATCGTATAGCTCAAATGTCAATGAGAATTTGTTCTTCGCCAACTTCACTAGCAGCACAAGTCAGTAAGAATAGAACTTCACATATCTCCAAGTGGTAAAAGGGGAGGGTGGAGAAATCCAGCTTTGCTTGAGGCTGCTGCGTCAAGGGTTCGAATCCTGAAATATGGATTTGGCTCTTGGGTAAGTGCAAGTGTACAAGCAACCTTCCACCCTGTACCCTTCGAGGCATAACCTGCGATTTACCTCCCTCACGATACGTCAGGGCAGGAGTGGTGGGGGACCCTTAAAGTTAGGGTTTAACCTTTTTAGAGCTTCACTAACTGTACTAGTCGGTGAAGAATTTATTTTCTTCACTTGCATGCACAAATTTTAAATTCTATTGTAATTTACAATATAAACAATATAATTGAATGAAAGTGAAGGACAAATCACATTACCCAACAACAATTTATGCAAAAAAATGAAATTTTTTTTAACCTAATTAAGCTATATGAAGAAAAACAACCAAAAAATTGAAAAACTTAACCCTTGTTTGAGTCCCATTTTTGTGAAGAAAATGAATTTTTGAATAGTGTATTGATGGGAAATGTGTGGTTAAAAAATAAGAAAAAGTTTTTGATTTACGTATACTATTATTTTATTAAAGAATGTGTGGTTGAAATGATGTCAAATTACTGTTGAAGAATGTATTTTGGTTGAAAAATGGGGCTCAAACAAGGGTTTAGAGCGTGTTTAATTGCAAGTATGAAATTTGTATGTCAAGAAAATAAATTCTAAACAATTTAATTATCTAGAACTTATTTTATAGAAATTATAAATTAAATGTTTTTAATTGATTTAATTTTCAATCTAAAAAACATTATAACTAATCATTTTTTATTGATGGGTAAATAAGAGAACATAAATAAATGAGAGAGTGAATTATTTGAAAGATAAAAATCAACATTCCCTAAAGAAAATATTTTCCTTGTTTTTAAAAAAAAATATAGTCATATGACGAAAAGTTGGAAAATATTTTTCATAGAAAAAGTTTTAATCAAACACTCCAAAGCTAGGAATTTAGGTCCAAAAATGACATTTTCTATGAAAAATAAAGTCAATCAAATACATTCTTAGAGATTATGAGATTCTAGTTGCAAAATTGGACTTCTCGTAGTTTTTTAAGATTAATCTGAACAAAGAAACTCCATCCTTGACCATATGAATTTATGATGCATCGATTTTTAGAGGATATTAGTTGCCTCAATGTTTAACCTGAGACATTTGTTTTGGGATAGACAGGGTATTTTGTCCTTAGAATGTGATTGAAACCTTTTCTTTAAGTATTTTGCGATTTCTTTTTATAAAGAAAAATTAAAACAAGGAAACTGGTCAAGCCGTGACCTAATGACCAGTTCAACAGGGATTCCTATTAACCTTTTTCCACAATATATTTACTATTCAACTGGCCGATATATTATTATTATTATTATTATTATTATTATTATTATTATTATTATTATTTTCTCCCCAAAATCAATACAAAGAATTGGGACTTTTTCCCCTTTTAATTATTTATTTGAAATTTATTTGTACTTTTTTGAAAAAATTGGAAGTATAATTGCAATTTATTCTTTATTTTTCTTTTCTTTATTTTTTGTTTTATATAAAGAGGACGATATATTTGTTATTTTACAGCTTTTAATCAAGAAATGGACGAAAAATGATTAATTACGAAATGAAATGAAAAAAAAGGGTGAAAATGTCAAAAATAAAAGATAACGACGTTTTGTACAATAATATTGAAAAGTAAGGACATTTTGTACTAATTACTTTTTTAATAATTTATTTGAACTCATTTGCACTTTCTAAAAAATTAGGAAGTATGATTACTATTTTTTTTTATTTTTTTATTTTATTTAAATAAGAGAGTATATTTGTCATTTTATATGAGAAATTGGATAAAAATGATGACTTCTACAATGAAAGGCGATAGTATAGGTAAAAATGTCAAAAAATGACAGGTGAGAACATTTTGCATAATAACATTGAAAGATAAAGACGTTTTATGTTAATTATCCAACATAAAATACGACCTTGAATGATCTATTCAATTTTGTTCTTTACATGTTCTAGGCTGTAAAAATAATACATAATTGTCTTTTATTAATTGGAACTATTTAGGAGACGAGTCTGCCCTTATATTTCAAGGTGAATTTTGTGAACTCTTCGTCCGTTGGAAATTGTTAATTAATATTGAGGCAGTTTGTCAATTTTTTATTTTATTTTATCTTTATCTCTAAAAGTTTAATAATTCAAAATTGAATTACAATCTTCATAAAAAAAACATATTTAGAGTATGTTTGAGCCACATTTTTTCTTAAGAATACATTTTAAAATACTAGATTGATGTAGAATGTGTGATTGAAAAATAAGAAAAAAAATTTCAGTTTGATTATAATATTATTTTATTGGAAATCGTGTGGTTGAAAAGAAGAAAGATGAAATGCAATTCGAAAATAATGGGAATCAAACAACGACTTAATATAATAAGAATAAATTAAATTAGGTCCTACAATTAATAATTTAGAAAATCTATAAAGTTTAAAAATGTGGTCTTACTCAAATCAAAACCAAATTCTTCATAAAAGATATATACTAATTGAATATTAAAAAGTCTCGTCCTAATTATACTATGATAAATATTTTTGTTAAATAAATTTTTTTTAAATGCACCATCATTCCCTAACACAAAGACTCGATAATGTGGCCAAAGTTAGTGGCTTGAGATTTCCGAAGGGGACACATGTTGGCTCGAGATTTCTAGCAAAATTCCGATAATTTTAGTTAAATGACCTGATCAACACAAAATATCTAATGAGAGAAAATTGAATGACGAATTGCATAAATTTTTTTAACAAAAATTCAAATATCAAATTTCACACGATTAAAGGATCTTTTGAAAACAATTTTAATTTAAAATTAAAATCCATTATTTAGAGTAGTTATCACAATTAGCCACTTGTCCGTTCAAAAGTCTATTCCTAAACGCAAGTAACGCTCGCCCATAAATCTTCGTCAGAATCAAACTGATTTGGTGAACCCTAATTTCATCCTAATCCAATATCCCCAAAATTAATAAAAATTAAGAGCAAATTTTAATCACTCTGGTTCAACCCTCAATTCATATAATATTCTATTGCAGACAAAAATCCATGGACTTCACCCCAATCCCTCGTATTCAACTGGAACCTTCCACTTCCAAACTCCCCATCAAACGCAAAATCCCCGATCCTGCCCCACACCTCAATGCGAATCCATTTAACCCGAATTCTCCCTGCGGCGGCGACGGGGATCCACGATCGCCGCCCTTCAAGTTCCACCGGATATGGACCGAGCCGGACGAGATCAGGTTCTTGCAGGGTCTATTGGACTGCTCATCGGAGAATTTAACCTTCCCACGGGACCTTGGGATTTTTTATACGCGATTCTCCAATACCATGTCACAGCCTTACACGAAGTCGCAGCTATCAGAGAAGCTGCGGAGGCTCCGGAAGAAATTTCGGGTCATATCGACGAGGCTATCTAAAGGGCTCGACAAATCGCAGTTGTCGCCACAAGATCGTATGCTTTACGAATTGTCGAAACAGCTATGGCACCCGGATTATGCGGCCACTTCGCCATTCAGTGGTACGAGGAATGTTAATACTCATAATAATCATAATAATAGTAACAATGATGATGGTGATTATGGTGGTGTTGGTGGTTGCAGTGACGAGTTGGTGAAAAAGTCGGGTCTCGTTGCGGTTAAAGTAGACTTTTTACCTACATTTCCGATCAATTTGGTGAAAGAAAGTGGTAAGAGTGTTGAAAATGTGGAATTGGATTGTAATGAGAATGAAAATGAAAATGAAGAAGATGGAGTTGCGTGTGGAGATTTTCATCATGATGATAACAATGAGAACGAGAAATTGAGTGAGGTGAAGGTGAACTTTGAATGGAGTGAGGGAATGGGAGATGGACGAAATGGTACTTTTGACATGGGGTTCAAGGAGGGAGAACCTGTAGTTGGACAGAACGTTGTTTTGGAAAGTGGGATCCATACCGGGTTTGGGGAAGTGGCGGCAAAGGTGGTGTTGAATGTGTTCAATGATTGTTTGAAGGAGGTGAAGAGTGGGCTAATTGGTCATGGCAGCGAAAGAGCGAATGTGGATCACGACAGTTTTGAAGAACGGTGGCAGAAGCAAAGGATTGCGGAATTGGATGTGTTGGGACACCGATTGAGGTTGGTTCTTGAGCACTCTATGCAATGAGTAAATAAAAATTTGTGTATTGGGATTGGTATAGTAGATAAGAGCCCTATTTTTGTTCATCCTATCTTGCCCTGTTTTTATGTTAGTTTCTCCATTTCAAAATAATTGTACATTTTACAATGCAACACAATGAGTTATTAGTTCCAGTTCCGTGCATTTCGTGTTTTTAGTTTGTCTAATGTGTTTCTGCAATCTGTTATCTGCTTGGATATATTAAGTGCTTAACATTTGGAAAACACTCCCCTTGACAAAAAATCAGAAGTAACAGTTTAAGTATTTGTCGTGTACAGAATATCTATTATATTCCCTTAATATTTGCATCTGCTGCTGTATTCATTTTTATGTATAGTAGGCTAGTAGCACTGGAGGAGGCCAAATGCCTACCGGGAATTTGTATTGGTTTCAGGATATGTAGTTGAATAACATTTGAAATTTTTGGCATTAAAGTTTGAAGGGTGCAGTTTTATATGGATATTAGTTGTGGACACGGTAGTTGGGCTTACATTATGATATATGAAAGAAGTAAAGAGAAATGGGACTTAATAGGTGTTATTATATGTCATTGTTTACGGGTTTAGATTGTTGAGGGATAAATGGAGAAATGGAAAAATGAGCTCAAAACAAGTCAAGATGTTGAGCTATGAAAAAAATGCAAAAATTCTACAAACTATTTTGAATGGGGTGGAGGGGTGGGAAGATAATGAGAATCAAGCAAGCTATCCATAGGGAAATGAGAAACTTTCTATTGGCACACTAGTTTTCAGTAATTTTGACACATTGCATAGACGACGGATTTTTTCTTTGTTTTATTTTAGTAGCTGGGTTCATGTCTCATCCTCTGGTGATATGGGTTTGAACAAGTTAGCTCTTTCGGTAGCTTACAGTGCAATTAGCTTGGAGTTGGGCATGCATAGGTACATGATCACACTTGGGACATCGTATCAATAAAATATTTACCATTTCTAGGTACATGATCACACTTGGGACATCTTATCAATAAAATATTTACCATTTCTTTAGGGAACAAAAGAGTGTGCTTTTGAATTTGAGTGAGCACTTTATTATGGAGGGGAAGGCGAAGCGATGCTAATCAATGTTTAAAAAAGTTAAATTGGTTACAGAGGCGTTTTTCTTTTGCGAGGCGAGGCATAAGCCTCGAGGCATTTTGCAGTGGAAGCCAAAGATGTGAATTTGCTGGTTTTTTTTATGGATTTTGTGACATGACATGAGAGGCTAGGGAGAGATCAAACCTAGCAAGGAATCCAAAGTAAATAACATCAAGATTTTGAAAAATCAAAACTCGACATTGAAAATCGAGAACAAGAAATAGATTCCACATCTCTTTACTGTATTTATAAATTTTTGGGGATGATTTTTCAATTTTATTGTTGTTTTATCATTAGATACATGTCAGGCTAAATTCTTTATTGTATTGGATGAATATAATTTTTGCTTGATTGATATTGCATACTTTATTGCATTACTTGGTTGGTTGACCATCGCAATTAATTGCATATTATAGTGATGAGAGGTTCATAATAGATTAGAACTTTACAATTTTAATACAGGCAATAGATGTTAGAACTTAAATGTATGGTGTGTGCAATAGCCTAGATAATCATGTAATTGAATGCATTACTTTGTAAAAAAAAATTGGAATAAGAATATGTTATGATTGGGTCGTGCTTAAAATATGTTTATCCTACTTCGAGAGAGAGAGAGAGAGAGAGTTAATTAAAATTGGATTATTGATTGTCAATAACACATTAAGGCCCCGTTTGATTGCATTAAATTTTTCATGAAACTTGGAATTCGAATTCCAACTTCCACTTTTAGCCTGTTTGATTGACAGAATTTTTCAAGGAATTGATTTTTCATGAATTTCTAAGTACAACACCTTAAAGGGTGATTTTTCACATTTTATTTTCCAAGGGGTAGGTGATTTTTTGTTTTCCACCTTTTTTTTTTTTTTGCTTTTTGTTTTTTTGTTTTTTTTTAATTGTTGGCAATGAGAACAAATTGTAGAAACAGTTGCAAAAGATGATATTCCTAAAATCGACAATTTTCATGTAAAACAAAGCCAAACGAACTCCAAAATATAAATGATTTTTTGATCTTTTTTTTCTTTTTTTTTTTTGGTTGGCAATGGAAACAAATTCTAGAGACAATGGTAGAAGTGAATATCCCTTAAACTGACAATTTTCATGTAAAATAAAGTCAAACGAACACCAAAAAACACTTTTACTTCAACATTTTCCACGTGAAAAATTATACCAATCAAACACAATAATTTACAATTTCCAAAAAAACAATCTCTAAGTAATTCAATTCCCTAGAATTCATTTTCTTTCCACTCAAATTTCATTTCGCAATCAAACAGACCCTAATATCACTAATTACCTAGGTTGGGAATTGAAAATAGAATAAAGATAGGTGGATTTATAATTCCAACACATTCATATATTCATTCATTATAAAACCAAGGCAATTAAATAAATTTAGAATAATTTAGAATAAATAACAATATCACCACTTTTGTTTTACATACATTCGAATTTGATTACAAATTAATACAATTCAATTTAAACCTTATTTTTTGTGAGACAATACTCTCAATTCATCACATTATTACTTGTTAGTGATTCTGTAAGTTTGCCGGTATTACGCGAACAAATTTTTGCCAAATAAAATAGATCAAAAAAATTGAAAGATAAGAAAAAAAACTCATAATCAATTACGAACAAATTTGAATATTTGTAATGGAACAATTTAAAGAATAACTTGCGAACAAACACCAAAGTAATCAAAAACATTGTTTTGCTTTTAACTATTGTAGGTTATAGATTGGCTGAATAAGATTAATTATAATTGTAACAAGTGTTTCGTTTTTATCGTGATTATTATTAAGTGCTTGAATCTTTCAAAATATGTTTTGTGTGTGTATTTCTCTTATTTAATAACTATTGTAGTTGGTTTTAATCTTAATTTATTATAATTGTAATAAAAGTTTTACATTTTACAATTAACCTTATTTGTTAGAATAATGCTCCAGGCACAAGCGAATTTTCACAGAATTTTCACAGGATTTCACATGGCATAGATTCATTGACCCAAAAAATAAAAATAAAAATAAAAAAGGTCTGCAAATCAAGGCTACTGTGTAGGGATTTTGTGAAAGTATTCGCGTACTTAGGAAATTTTTCAATTTGTTAAATAATAATGCTTCTTGTACATTCTATGGATTGTATGGAGTTTGACATTCTTTACAAATTCAAAATATATTTGGCGGAAAAGTGTGTTGAATTAAAAAACTGTCTAATCGACTAATCATGTGCCGTCACGTGGAACAATATAAAAAATAATGTAAAAGACAATGTACAAATTGCATGGTCCTTTGTTAAAACATTAGTTTTAAATTTAGTGAGAGCTAGCTTTTATAGGTTTGACAATTAATAATCAGATATTACATTAATGGTGGCTAACTTTTGTAGATTTGACAATTAAAAAACATGTTCTAAATTAGTGGCAAAAAAAAAAAAAAAAGGTTTCAAAGGCAACCAAGTTTTAGAGCCTTCCATGAAAGAGCGCTTTTGGAACATTTTGAAGAGAAGTCTAGAATGAACGTTGATAATGTAGGAGAATTATAGAATATGACTAAAATGTTGATAGAATATTACTTTGTCTAAGAGAATTATAGAGGATAATTGTTGACCTCGAAATCTGGTCATTTCACGTGGCCAACTGAAAGCTACTCCACGTGTTCCTCTCTGCGCACAATTAGCGAATGGTCAGATGCACACGATCGGAACCAGTGGGGGTGGTGACAGCCGTATACACTCCGACGGTCAAGTCAGGTTTAAGTGCTCGGAACAGTACTCAGGGGCTATGCAAATCAATGATAAAGGAGGAGAAGAAAATATATAAACTTCCTATGGAGTGCTATGTAGTAAGAGTTTCATTACCTTTGCCTCTTGCCAAATCTTGGGTATTTATAGGTGGTATGACCGTTGGATGTGGGACGCGTGTATACATCTGACGGTATGAATCGTCCGCTCATAGGCGTCAATCAGCCGCGTCTGTAGAGTGGGCGGACAGTTTGTTTCTTCTGAATTGAATTGACATAAAGTTGATAAGTCACATCAACTAGTCTCATGGAGACGTCAAATCAATTTAAACCTTAGGTGCATGAAGGATCTTGGAATAAATCTCTTTCTGAAATTGGCGGCGGATCTTCTAATCGGGGTCCACTTGGTCTCAACCTCGGGGGCGAGGTGCTTCGGCAGGTCAGTAATAGGAATCCCTTGTATCACTTCGAAAACACTTCGGACGGGTCTTTATCAGGTCAGAATATGTGGTGCTGCGCGTTCCGAGGTGTATAAGATCGGAGCGTAATAGTGGTCCCCCAAATCCAGGTATGAATATTTATATCATGCGTGGACTTGCTTTTCTGACCGGACCACGAGTTGCGGGAGTTTTGGGGGTTGATTTGTTACAGTAATCGAGGTTATGATCCCAGGCAGACGTGCCAAAGTTTCGTTACTGTGCGTAGCGAACGAGGCGGTCAACTAGCATGGAACTTCACATGAGGTGCGTATGAACCTTCGTGAATATGGTGCGCTGACCTCACAGACCGACACGTTGGGGGATGGCTGAAACTTTGTAAAGCATGGGAGGGAACGCAACATCGGAGGCGATGACCTAAAGGGGCCTTCGCATCAGGTACGTCCAAACTTTGTAAAGTTGAGGGAGGCGCTCATCTGCACCAATGCGCTGACCCACAAGGCCGACGCGTTGGGAGATGGCTAAAACTTTGTAAAGCATGGGCGGGAACGCAGCGTCCGAGGCGATGACCAGAAGGGGCCTTCACGTCAGGTGCGTCCAAGCTTTGTAAAGTTGAGGGAGGAGTTCGATCCGAGGCGATTCAAACGTCAAATGATTTGACAACTGTTGCGTGTTTTCAAGGTGACAATTGGGTGCCATGCCCATTCTCCTAAAAGGCTGCTGCGGCTACTAGTTATTATTGACGGCTGGTTTTAACCGAGGTGATGCGTTTTAAGCAAGCGTGTAAGTCACAGCGACATCTTGGGCGTATATCAAATCTAGTGTTTCATTTCAACGGCCTAGATTGAAAATGCGATGAACGGCCTAGATTGATCGCATTTGAATTCGACGGTGGAGATTGGATTTGTCAT